TAGGAAGTCTAGGAGGGTCCACCTGAGGTTTACGGAGAAATGGGGTGGCATCATATGAATTCCTTAAGTTACCGTAGTCAAATTACTTAACTCTGGTGTCAGTTTCCTCAATTATAGAATGAAAGGGTTTTACTGAAATAATCTATAAAGGTCCTATTAAATTCTAAAATGCTATGTGGTTCTTCTCTTACCAAAGGCCAAATCTATCTCCAACAAAAGGTGTCAAACCAATCCCCTAAAGATGCCCCTTTCTTCATGTTACTCCCATATTGAAGAATCCAAACGATTCCCTAAGGCATCTTACATAATCTTTTATTTCTTGTTAAGTTTTCAAGACATCCATAAAAGGGCTTCACTTACCTAACTACCCTCATTTTATTGTGGTGCTGGGGATCTAAACCCACAGCCCCTCATACACAATGCTCTAGCCCGGAGCTACACACCCAGCCTCAACCACCTCCTCTTATTTCCAGCTGTTATTCACTAGAGTGGTGCTCTACTCAGGCTGGTCTCCCCACTGTTTCCTTTTCACACGACAGAACTCCCACCCGTAAAGCTTTTGTTCTTATTATCTCCTACGACAGATCTAGCCAGAAATTTTAAGTTCCCCCTAGAGCTCAATCAAGGACTTCACTGAGGTCACGATTCTTTCCAAGGAAGCTTTTCCAGATTTCTTTTAATTGTCCTTTTCTTCAATCAACCCCGATGAACTAAATCTTTGCAAGAGGCAAAAACAGCGAGAGTTCAAACTCCCATGGAGATTATTCCACATGTGCCTACGCTGATTGTGGTCGGGCACCGGTGCGCTAACAGTTTCCCTGAACACTTCACCTGAGGCAAGAGCCAGGCACTGATGGGCTCCTGTATCCCCCATTGCACATAGGACCGCGTGGGCCACAGAGCCGAGCCCCACGCGCTGTTGGCCCCAATCCACTGCTTGGGCCCGCAGCGGGGCCGGGAGGGCAGGTGCAGGCACCAGGTGTGAAGTCATCCAGGTGACGCAGGGCCGACCCACTCAGCGCCAGGGACCCGGCCACCTCTTCCAGAAGGCTGTCTCTCCAGCCCAGCTTCATCCTCCTCGGAGTTTTCCGGTCCTCGACTTACAAGCCCCGGCTGCTACCAGGGCCTCTCTGCTGACCCCGCTCCCCTCCCCTCCAGCCCCGAGCCACTTCCCCGGCAACCTGACAGGTCCGACTGCCACCCGGCCGCGCAGCAACCCGGTCAGGCAGAGGGGCGCAGCCGGAGGGGGCCACATGCAGCCCAAGGGGTGTCACGCGCGAGGCCGAGCGCCACTCACCCGGCGCCAGGTACCAGATCCGGGATGCCCTGCGCGAGACGACGAGCGACGGCGACAAGCGCGGGGCTGCGGTCGGACAGTGGCGGCGCCGGCACTTCCTGCCTAGGGAGGCGGGGCGGAAGGCGCACCGGAAGGCGCGGCGGCTCCAACAGGGAGAGAGGGGTGCGGTCAGCGTCGCGCGCAGGACAGTGCGGGCCGGGGGTCCGGCGCGGCCCGGGGCTGCCGGGGCTGAACGCACACAGCCTGGGTCCTAGTGGTCTCTTCCTTCCCTGTTCAGGTCTGTCGCGGCATGCCCCTGTGCGGCTGGGCGGCCACCCCGTGGCCCGCCCGCCTCCCCCGCCTTCCCGCGGCCGGTCCCCACCGCCCTTCCGCATTCCTGGCAGCGGGGCGGGGGCGAGGGGCAGGGCCCCGGGCACAGCGCTGGAATTTGACCTGCCTGGGCCTTGATCCGCCCAGTTTGGGGTCCCCGCAGGAAGCGGCCCACCCAGGGTTGCCAGATTTAGCAAATTAAAGTACAGTTACCATAGTTCAATTTGAGTTTCTGATCATTTTTAGGGTCTGTTCTATGCACTAAGAGAAGGTTCAAGAGGCACACTCCTGCTAGCTCTAGAATCCCTTAACTACATCCCAGCCCAAGGAAAGTCGTTTATGCCCTACTCCTTTCCTACCTTCAAAATAAAATTATTCTTAGTTAAATTCTATTTATTAATTTTTGCAGTGTTGGGGATCGCGCATGCTAGGACCTACCGTCAAATAATAAGGTGTATGGTCTTATCAGGCCACACAACTGTTTCATTCCTCCTTTTAAACATAACAAAGTTTTGTTTAAATTAAAATTAAATTAAATTAAAATTTTTACACACACACACATAAACATATACAATGCTCTTGGTCAACATATGGAAAACAGGAAGCTACATAATTCAGGTTTGTTCTAGATACTCTTTGTGGCTATAATCGTCAAGATAATAATTAAAGGAATAGCACTATTTCAAACAATGGAGAATGGTCAGCCTAAGAGCCAATTTTTACTCAACTCTTCTTATTGTCTACACAGGTGCCAGATGCTGGGGAGATGAATAAGTTGAATTATTTTTCCCTTAAGGAGTTTATATTCTAGAAGTCTATATCTTAAATCCTAGAAGGTAGGAACCATGTGTTCAGCACTCTACACAAGTAGTTCTTAAAACAGTAGCATGGAAAATAACCTGGAAAGGCTGTTAAAAGTTTCTTGAACCTCAAAATCCAGTATTATGATTCAGTGCCAGAAGTTGAGAATAATTTGCACTTCTGATCAGCACCCAGGTGATGCTGATGCTGTAAGTCACACCTGGTTCTAAACATTTAAATCTTCCTTAGCTGAAGTCTGCCCCTTGTTTGATAGTTTAAGTAACTGTCTTTACACTCATCAGATTTTGACTTCTTAGGTCTTTAACACAGAGCTCTTCCAAGTATGATCTATTACCTAGGGGTAGAGTACTTGTCCAACATGAACAAGGCCCTAGGTTGGGTCCTCAGCACCGCCCCCCCCCCCAAAACACCCTTGGCAATTTAGCGCAACTCTTTAGACCAACCTCAAAAATACCCAACCCCAACCCCCCCCCCCCCCAAAAAAAACCACAAAGGGCTGTTAGCCAAATATCCTCTATTACTACTTCATAAGCCTTTACCCTGGTAAATGTAAGCTCATAGCTGAAATCACCCTGACTATACTTTGGGTGCTACTGATCAAGCCTAGGGCTTCAAACTCTACCACTGAAGTATACTTCCTGCCTATACATTAACTTTGAGCTCTGTATTTAAGTTTCTAAATTGTCCTAATCATCACTAATCACATGTTACTATTTAAACTTAATGTAAAATTCGGTCCCTGTTGTATTAGATACATTTTAAGTGTGAAGATTATGTCCAAATGGCAACAGAATCATAAGCAGGTGGATGGTGATCCTGCCACCTCTGGTTTGGTTTCGTCAAAAGGGGTTTTTTTTTGGGGGGGGGGGTACTAGGGATGGAATCCAGGGGTGCTTTACCACTGAGCTATATCCCTAGCCACCACCCCTGCCTTTTAATGTTTTAAGACAGGACCTTGCTAAATTGCTGAGTCTGGCCTCAATTTGCAATCCTCCTGCCTCACCTGCTGAGTCACTGGGATTCATGCCCCTGGATCATGAGAACTCTTGAAACAGTTTGTTTCAAGATAATTTTCACCATGAAAACATTTTAGGAACTGTCAAAGTCACTGTTAGCGAAAAGATGCTTTCAGCTTTTTATTGGTAATCACCCTGAATTAAGCAAAGCCCAGTTACTAAGCAGAGAATGCTATTACTAAGCTGGCAGACTTATTTCATGCAGGCCAGATCATCCACTATTTCTAATATAGAGTGAGTCTTTGAACAGTTATCCGAAATGAAAATGGAAATACTGCAAGAGATAATTTTAGTAGTCCCCCGCCCCCAGAGGAAATAATGTTACTTATTCTTCACTGGAGATTTGTTAACTAAGCAGAGGTGATAATTTTTTCAAGATTTTAGCACAATGGCAATAGCTGAGCAAAAATATACTTTTTAAAATCCTGAATAAGATTCATTCAGAGAATTAAGGCAGATTCTATAATTCTAATCTTGAAGGGGAAAAAGACTAGTTATTACTAGTCTTCTATTAGTATTCTATATAGCTGTCTTTTACCAGGTTAAAGGATCTCCCTTTCTGTCCTATTGAGTACAAAGGTCTGTTGCCCACAGGCATTCACTGTTCACTGAATGAGGTAATGGTTTTCTTCAAGGATAAAGCTTGTTAGTAGTAGCATAAAACTTGAAGTTATTAGAGTAATTTTCAACTATTATCTTGGTAGGGCAATTTTGACTGTTTTCACTCAACTCTCCTCCTCCTTCAAATACTTTTAAACTCAAATCTTTCAGTTTTAATACTTTCAGATTTTTTACACTTAAAGAGAATGAAAGTCTTCCACTCCCTGATTAACTCTGAAACAGTCCTGTTTTTCTGTAAATACCAGAAGTTATTTTTAGGACTGAAACAATGACCTCACTTTCCCAGGCATGTAGCTTCAGCTGTTTTGATTGTGGGCAGGTCAGGAATGTCTAAAATTTATAAATGGACTCATGATGAATCTCTGCATAAACAAACATGGTCTTTCAATTGGGGTTGCTATAGTAAAGAAAAACCATATACAATAAAAAATACTATATTGTATTTTAAATAGCTTGAAATACAACACAGAAATCTGTCTTTTGATAAAAGCATTTCATAGACTCTCTTGAGCTAAAATAGTTTTTAAAAAATAGGACAAATAAAAATTATGCTCAGTGACCTAGTCCATTTTTAAATGACACAAAATAATGTACAAAAGCTTAGAAGATAAAGTGGGGACACATAAAACAGATACATCAAACTTAAGAATTCTTCTTAAAGCTACTACAGTGTCACTATATACAAATTCTACAGGAAATTATTTTAAAAACTGGAAGACAAAGTGCAGGAAATCTGATTAGGGCAGTTAAAATTATACTTCCTTGAGAGGAGAAAATAAATGTAGAGAAGATAGGACTGTTAGGAAAACCGAAGGGAATACAAGAGGGGTCTGGCAAACCTATCATTTTCTGGGATTTACCTCTTCCATCTTTCTTTGAAACATAAAACTAAAACTAACAAAATCCAGTTTTGGTAAATAATAAGTTAAAACAAGTCAGTATTTTATCATAAAGTTTAATTATGGTTCAGAAAAAATTGAGTGAATAACTTTCTCTGAAAAAATATATTGACTCTGTGTAGACTGCAGTTATTGGGGGTGAGGGCAATGGTAACTTAAATTACCCTATTTTCTATTCTGAAAATGACAAAAAGTCCCATTTCCAGTCTGATTATAAAGATACATGAGCCTCAAAATGGCTGAGAATAAATACAAAACAAGAAAGGCAAAAGCTGTAAAGCTAAAAGGCATGCAACAGGCTCTAAGAGAAAAATCTCAGAAATACCCAAAGTGGCAACAAGGAACATTTGGCTGGAATTTGAAGATCTTTTCAGTCATCTTTGTCTTTTGCTCCGTGTTTAAGGATGCGCGTGAACTCGATGTAATTGAAATTCCCCTTTTTGTCAATAGGGGCTTCTCTGTACAGCTCATCCACTTCCTCATCTGTAAACCGATCACCCATGGTGGTCAGCAGCTCTCTCAGGTAATCCTCCTGAATGGTGCCTAGAAAATAAAGAACAGGGGATCAGAATACATACTACTGAGACTAATTACAAGGCCTATCTACACTTAACTACACATACTGTTTAAGTTAAGAAACTGTAAACACACAAATAAATTAGATATGGGGTTTCCACCTGCTTTTGGCAACCTCAGCAGACAGGTGCCTAGAAAAATATCCAGCTGCTTTGCAGCACTGCTCTATCAACCTGCCTCCACATCCTTCTTCTGACCTCTTTATAATAGAAACTAAACCTATGCCCAAACAAAAGTAATATGGTGTGACTAATGAAACTAGGCCTCATGGCTCCTTGAAATGGCATGAATGGTCATGCCTATGCTACAAGCAAATAGCGGTCACCTGCCACATTAAAATCAATACCGCATCATGAATATCAATAAAAATACTTTAGTTGAAAGAATAGTGGAGTCCTAAAGCCCGGTTTAACAAGCTATATTATTTCAGGTATTACACTTTACCTCTTTGGTTTTCTCACATGTGAAAGGAAAATTTTAATGTTTACAAATCTAACTTATAACAAACATGGCCAAGCCTAGAATGTGCAAAAACATGGAATAAATACTGGTGCATAAAGTATGTCACTGACCCTGTGTTAGGTAATTGGGATGTGAAGGGTGAGCTGAAAGGTATGTTTTTTTACTCTGGGTTTTGTATATGTGTGTGTGCACGTGCACATACCCACTATTGGGGGGTTGAACCTAGAGATGCTCTATCTCTAAGGTACAACCCCAGCCTTTTGTTTTTTATTTTGAGACAGGGTTTTCCTATGTTGCAGAGGTCTGCCTCAAACTTGTGATCCTTCTGCCTCAGTCCCCCCAAGTAGCTGGGATTATAGGCATGTGCTATCATGCCCAGTTACTTGTGGGTTTTTGATACAAAGGTTTTCATAAAACCTGCCTGCCAGGTGGGCATAGTATCTATAGTTTCAGCTACTCAGAAGACTAGGGCAGGAGGACTGTGAGTTTAAGGTTAGTTTGAGCAACATAGAGAGACTCTTAAGAAAGAGAGACAGACCCTGCCTGCCTAAAACAATAAATATATAAATACTTGTAAATATAAAACACAGAAACAAATTCCCAAATGTCACCTATGATTTACTTTCTTATATTGGCATTATTTTGGAATTTTAGCTTTGTGGAAATAAATTCTCATTTCCAGTCAAGTCATTCAACTATTCCATAACTAATTATCTACTGTGTGCAAGGGCTACAAAGATGGGAATGAAATACTTTTTAAGACAAAGAGCAATTACTCTGGAAGTGGGAAGAAATTGTAATTATTGGGAACAAGCACACAACTAAAATATAAAGTCAAATAGTGTGTGTGTCACAAAAGAGATACAGATACGTACAAGGAATGGAGAAGCTTTTTGCTTTCCTGGGAGCCAGGAAAAAATAGTAAGAAATCACAGGCAAGGCTCCATAAAGGATGAGACCATTGAGATGGGTATGAAAAACACATAAAACCTTTTCTTCTTTTACAATTTTTTTTCTTCCATTAAAAAAGTAGAAGCTGCTCACAATAAATTCAAACAATACACGAGTGTCTTCAGGAGTCAAAAAGGTAAGCCTCCTCTGGCTACATTCTTCCTACATTCTACTCCTTCCAGAAATAAAGTTAAGAATCTTCATTGAAAATGCAGAAAGAAGAGGTGGTATGGTAAGAAAGGCAGAGGAAGAAATGATGAAAGTCAGCATAACAAAGCATGAATGTGTTTGGAAAGAAGTTAGGGAGACAATACAAGAGTGGAGGGTGCCTTGAGAAGGCAGAAAGCAACCATACTGTGGGGAGCCTTGGAAGCCAGAGTAAGGAGACAATGCTGGCATCAGCAGGCCAAGACCACACCCAGCACTGAAACTAGTCTAAGCAATGTTCCTCCTCCATGAGTTGGGAATCTTGGAAAATATTCCCTTTGTGTTTTATCTTATATGTACTTCTGCCAAAGGATCAAACATTTATGTAATTAATGCGTTGTTTTTGTGAGAGTCAACTCTATGCTGGTCAGTGTGCACACTGTCCTACTTCCTCATTTAGTCCTCACAACCACCCTATGAGGTAGGTAATATTAATGCCCATTTCAAAAAAAAAAAAAAAGAAAACCAAGTTGTCGCTCAGTGGCGGAGTGCTTGCCTAGCATGTGTGAGGCACTGGGTTTAATCCCTGGCACCACATAAAAATAAACAAATAAAATAAAGTTATTGTGTCCATCTACAACTAAGAAAACATTTAAAAAGAAAAAGAAAGAAAACCAAGGCTTAGAGAAGCTAAGTAGATGGCACAAAATTAGACAGCTATTGTGTGTTGCAGAAGAGGAACCTGAAATCCAGTAGTCTGATTCCAGAGCATAAACTCTGCTTGGTTTATTTTTAAAAAGAGGTTAGCAGATTTAAAAAATTTTAGAGTTCAGAGATCCCTGGTAAGCAAACAGGTTTCTACTGGTGCCACAGACTGTGGCAAATATATACTTTACACAAGATTGTTCTCACCAAAGTTACTCATTCTACACATATTTGCGGGGAACCTAACCCTCTGGAATTAACATTTTAGTAAGAGGTAACCCAAGTTTCCCAAAGATATCTCAAATACAACCTACAAAATTTATAAATTACTAATATTTAAAGAAAGAGAGTATAATAAGTGATAAAGGCACTCCAGGAAAACCCTGTTCAAAAAAGTAAGGGTAGTATAAACCTAAAGGTTTTATCACATTTTAGGTTATTTTATATATCAGGTATTATAATTAAAAATCAAATCACTTTGTAATTAAAGATTACCTCTGACTTACCAGTAGCTTCTTCATCAAAGCAAGCAAAAGCATTTCTGATGACATCTTCGGGATCTGTGCCATTTAACTTCTCACCAAACATGGTGAGGAACATGGTGAAATTGATGGGTCCTGGAGCCTCATTCATCATGGCATCCAGGTATTCATCAGTGGGATTCTTCCCTAAACAACAACAAAAATAAAAAGAAGAGAGGATCATAATTTCAAGTATACTATGAAGCATATCAGCTATTAATCATAGTAAACATTTTGACAAGAAAGATGATCATTTGTACAGTTTGTTGTTTGCATTCATGACAGCAAACTTTTTAGAGAAAAAGTCTTCGGAATGAATACAGCCTAAATTAAATATTGTAAATATTCCATTAGGATGTTAGAAAGAATAGTACTGCTTCATACTCAAGACCAGTGTGTCTCCCACCAACATACACATGTGGCACCCACCCCAATTCTGAGACAGGAATAATAATCTGCAGGTGTTCATGTGGGACTTTATTTGAATCTAACAGACATTAAACTGGCTTCACAGAGCTTTAAGAATCACAAAATAAACATGAAAGGCAGCATGGAAATTCTATTCAGTATATTAATAGTAAAACTGAGCATTACCCAGTGAGGCAAGCATATCATGCAAATCTTCCTTGTCAATGAAACCATCTCTGTTCTGGTCAATCATGTTGAAGGCCTCTTTGAATTCCTGAATCTGTGATTGGTCAAACATGGCAAATACATTGGATGTTGCGCGTTGAGGGCGCTTCTTGGTAGTCTTGGTCTTTGCCCTTTTGCTCGACATGGTGGTGGTTGAATCCTAATTTAAGAAGGGAAATTCAAGAAAAACAAAATCAACATCCAAAATTATTTAAGTCTGAATAAAAACAATGATTAGCAAAAGTAAACTGAATTGACCTTCCTGATATGTTTGAGTTACTTAGAGATGTGTCTGGAGCAGGAGAATATCACTTGGTAAAAAATCTCTCAACTTATCAAAACCATTACTCAAAGAACCAAACTAAATTTAAAAAAAAAAAAAGACTTGGTTCAATGAACATTTTGTTGAAAGGATAATGGAAAAATATAGAAAACTGAAGTTAATCCACCTATAATTAACTTCTATAGACATTATTCTTAAAATCATGAATTTTTATAAAAGCATTTCAACAAAATTACATATCCCCAATACTGCTGGATAGCCTAACAATTGATAACCATAACACTAATATTTATAACATTTAATAACAATATAAGAATAAGAAACAAACCCCAAAAAACTTAGGTATAGTTCTATGGGGGTGCTGAGAAATATTAATTCATCTTTAGTAGGTCCACCTAAAGGTCTCATTCTATAGTGGACAGAAAGTAAGAAAGTAGGGAGACTGAGTGGTGGAACAGGTCTTCTCTCCTAATCACTATTCACAAGCACTATTCTTACACATTCAACTAACATTTCTCAGTGCACCTTCATTTCTGGATCCAAAATAGTTCAAGAAACATTCTGTTGAAAAGATAATGGGAAAATATAGAAAACTGAAGTTAATCCACCTATAATTAACTTCTATAAACATTACTCTCCAGTTTCTTGCATTAGAGCCATATTAAACCATTGATATTACTAAAACATCTAAACAAATCAGAGTACAATTTTTTAAAGCTTAAAGATTTTAAATTTAGTTTAAGTTTTAGAGAACATTTTAAAAAGCACAGAGATTACCTTTGCTTTCCAATAACCAAAATTTATCCCTACAAAATTTAAGTTAAAACTAATGTCTAATACATAAAATGAAAAGGCAATTTTCCTTTCAACACTCCATTTTTAAAAGATTATAATATTTATTTGAAGCTACAAATCCCATAGTCATCAGATAAAATTCTACTGTACCATCCTTTAGAGGTGATGTGGTTGAGAAAGTAGTCTGCAAAACCTCTGATCAGCAAGAGTAAGACACTGTATTGAGTTATATTCTTCTGAGCAGGTCTAAAATAGGCACTACTGATTTCACTCTCTGACCAGGATAACAATTTTAAAGCTTACGTTCTGAAAACAACATTTAGCAATGATGTGGCAAAACACTATGCCCTTGCTCTAAAAATAAGTCTGTGGACTGCAAAGAATGAACTGCTACCTAGATCTCAGCACTCAAAGTGACCCTTGGAATATAATGCTTCCTATGGGTTTAAAATGTTATTTTTCAATCTTTCCTTGATTGAACTATATCACCCAGACTAAATTCAATTATGGAAATAATTAGAAAAGCTCTACTTGTATTATTTTTAACTGAGTCTCTTTTTAGATTTTAGTTCCGAATTCCATAAAGGGTAGTCACAAATTCCAGCTCATCCAATATAGCTGTCCTTGCAATACACTGGAATGTATTCCTGGAAAAATATACCATACACAACATAGAAATTATATGCTCCTCCTGAATTTCCTTTTATCACTTCTTTATGAAGGTACTTTTCAGGACCCATGTAAGCATTCTTGAATGCATATATTTTCTTTCTGTTAATACTTTTGTGGCGGGGGGGGGGCTGTAAATCTTCTTTAAAATGTACAGAATTGTATTTTCACCTTCTATTCTAAATGTTGTTTTAAAAACTAGAAAAATTTATGGAGTATATTATTCCTCTGTCTCTTAAATGTACTCAAGGACTTGGCACAAGTGGTCAAGACCCAATGAATGGTATGCACTTACCAGTCCACACCGCTTTATATTTTAGGTATGCCATGCCTTTGCAAGCCCATCTTTAAAAATAGTCTGTTTGGTATGACAACATTGTCTTTCTCTAATGATGCAAAAATGTCAGTTATTTTAAGAACAAAGACCAAAGAGAATTATAAGTCAAATGGTTAATCTACAAAATATGCTGATGGGGGTCATCTACATACCTTTTAAAATTACTTAGCTTGGGTTGTAAAGTAATAGATAAATAGTTTTTAAATTTTTGAGTATTTTCTATTATTTTAATCAAGCATTTTTTGAATATGTACATGCATCATAAAATAATTTAAAAGGTAAACCTTGCAGGTGGTATATGCCTATAATCCCAGAAACTCAGAAGACTGAGGCAAGGAGGATGGCAAGTTGAAGGACAGCCTAGGCAACTTAGCAAGACCCTATCTCAAAATACAAGATAAAGAGGGATGAGGATGAAGCTCAGTGGTAGAGCATCCCTGTGTTCAATCCTCAATACTGCCAAAAAAAAAAATAGTTCTAAAGGTGTTGTTTTTGGTTTTTTTGGTCAGCACAGACAATAGTCTCATAAAGAACTTTACATCATTCAACAGTTAATCTTATCAACCCTACTATGATCAGTTAATACTAACATTTAATATATTAAGAATACTCTGGGAAATGTACTATAACCTTTGATGAAAATTTCCTATCTTAAACTGCAGAGTGTGAAAATCCAGTTCATATATCTCATTTAACTAGCACACTTTTTTTTTTTCAAACTAAGAGATTTGTTTTTTGGTGCTAACCCAGTTTTTCAAAAGTATATTTGCAAGTTGGTTTTTCCGTTCCAACTAAACCAAGTTTTCGTTTCTTACAAAAACTTCCGGTTGGAAGTCAGAAAAGTTCTCTTCGACTGCCACACCCAAAAGTTCTTGCCACTTGACAAAGACAATTAGTTGTCAGGGGTGATTTGGCAGTAAAGCCTCTTTCTAAAATAAAATGCTTTTCTGGTTAACTCCTTATCAAAGGCCTTCCAGAACACGAAACAAACACCAGTAGCTTTAATCAACACTTGCCTTCTTCATCTTTAGAAATAAAACTTCTTACTTAAAAATGTTAAAATCTTAATTGAACCCACATTTCTGTTCTGAAGATTTCTAAATAACTGGCATATGCTTTCGTATACCTACTAAACTACTTACAAAGGAAACACTGACTTAGCCCTGTGTCTCCACCCTAAAGGGAAATTGTCATTTTGGGGCTTTCCCTTAAGCTGCAAACTAAACCCCAACACTCCTCTCTGTCAAATATCATTATAATTAGAAAAAAAGTTCTAATTACAGAAATGGGACATCGAGCTGCGATTTGAGTTGGTTATTCCTCCTAAACAACAGCTGCAACCGGAGGGAGGACGGGGGCTGGGCGGGGAGGGCCACGATTTTAGCGCAAACTCCCTGGAATCCGGCAAGTTTATGTTAGAAACTAAACTTAGATCCCAGAGTCAGCTCTGCCGGGTTCGGGTTTCGCGGGCCCGGCAGACACCCAAGCTTTAGGCGCCAGCAAGCTAAGCCACATTTTCCGAGATACAAGTTTCAGCACAGGAGCGAAGTCTGGCTATCTGGGCCACTTCTGGCCGCGGCCCTCGACTCCACAGCTGGCCGCTGGGCTGAAAACCCGGGATCGGCTGGCACACCTGCCCAGGTGCGCTCCGGGCGCCGGGATCCCACGGCGGAGCGCCGCTGCCCGCCCCGCGGCCCCGCGAAGATGGGCCCCAGGAACCGGCCTCACGCGCGCGACCGCGAGCATCACTCACCCTACACAGCCACGAGAACCAAGCACCTTAGCGAATCCCCGCTGCCTCTATCACCACCTTTCTGCCCCAGAGCCTCTGAAAACCAACACTTCCGGTCTCCGCTTTTCAAACCGGAAGGAAGCACAGTCACCATTCTCTGCCCACAAAGTGGGTTCGACTTAATGGAAAAGCGCCTAGGAGGGAAGTTGCTAGGGTGGTCAGCCGGCGAGATACTGACCGAGTGCACCGGTAGGAAGCATAAAGAAAGGGACTTGAAACATAACGGAATGTGTAATGGCTCGCTGGGTCTGATTACTGAGCTTCCGTCTTTGGTGTATCTCTACTTGACTGAAAGTGTTCCTATTCCCCCCTCTTTTGTCTGCGTATGGTTGGGTCTGTCCTGTGGCTTTGCCTCTCGGCACATTCCAGGGCACGGCGAGGGGCGGGGTCCTACAGCCTAAGTCCTTGTAGGGAAATCGTCGAGAGGGCAGCTCGGCCCACGTGACTAGCCCTTGCTCCGCCCCCCGAGGGCCCGGCTGCTCCCTCTGGGCTCTAGTGCGCCTGCGTAGGGGTTGCCTTGAGCTGTTTCTGCGGCCACTTCTCATAGCTGTGCGTGTAGCCCTTGAGCAGACCCTGGCGGGCTATTTGGTCACTTTATGCAGTGTTTTATGAAGAGTCCACCCCTTCCACACAAGAATAAACATTGTGAAGTCCTAAGGGCCCCCAGCCAAGTGCCTGTTTATCTTTTTGACTCTTGACGGACTTCCTAAGGTCAAGAGTGGCTGAAGATTTCCTCCCTCTTAAGAAACCGTAGCTGTTATTTTCCCCTCTGACCATGATTAACAAGGAGAGCCCGAGGAAGGCAGGAAGGTGACTCTTGCTTCACCTCTTCCTATAATGAGGACTTGCAGCTTGGTGGAAATAGGAATATAAAGTTGGGTCTATTTTTTTTTTTTTTCTCAGCTCCCTTTGTCTAGTCCGGCTTCTTAACAATGCCTCTTGTTACTCAGCTTTCTGACCTCATCGGTGAACCAATTGTGTTGGATCCGGGAACTGAGACTCAGACCATCACCTTGGCACTAAGGTCCGGTGACTAGTTCGGTTCTTGTAACCAGCACAGTTCTGAAGTTTGGGGTTACCCTGTGGTCTTCGCCTTCAAAGCTGACTCTGACTTGAATCATGAATCTGAAATGAAAAGGAAGATTATACCTAAATGCTGCGATGTAATATGTTCTAAATCTTTGTAAGATCCAGGTGCTTTCCAGGAACTCGGGAGCATTACCCAATGACACATTCCGTGCTGGGCGTGGTGTTGCACACGTGTAATCTCACACACACACAGACTCAAAGTTAACTTAAAGGTTAAGTCACTGAGAGAAAGAAATTGCCCCAATTCTGTAGATGGCTGAAACAAAAGTGATTTGTTTGTCTAGACTTCCTCGACAAAAAGATTCATGGGGTACTAGTTTAAAATACAAATAATTGGGTGCTACATCTTCAACTCACTGAGTCAGAATCTTCAAGGGCAGATCCTGGGAAGCCATGGATTTAACAGGATCCCTAGTGACTCATCGGGGAAGGAGAAGACAGCTGAATGAAAAGCAGTGGCAGTGCACACTCCAGAGGGCTCCGTAGGAAGGGAACAGCCCTGTGTTTTTGTCATTTGTCTTGGGCGGCAGAGCACGCACCTGCAGTGCTTCTCACCTCCACTGGGTGGAGGCCTATCACCGTGAAGATGGTCTTCCACCTGTGTCCTCTCAGGGGAAAAAAAAAAAAAAAACAAACCTTCAGATCCTAAGGAAGTGGACAGTTCGGTTTTCTTCCCAACTTGAAACATTTCTTTTGCTTCTCTAGTGTCAGATAATTGTCTTGTCTGTCTTCTACTCGATCAACTGGTATTACACAGCAACTGCATTGCCTAGGTCTGTGGTGGGGACTGTGGTTTACTCTGTTTTAAAATTAAACAGTGGCTGCCTCTGGGTTGGGGTGGGCTGGTTTAGTAGATAAGGATGCAGAGTTATAGAGGGTGTCATGTATAAGACAGCTAACAATGACAGAGTATCATTCAACTCAAACTGTAGTGACCACAGACTCAAGTGGGCCTGTGGTGCTCATGATGTTTCTTGAAGTTTTGCAACCTCTCTCACACTTGTAACACCCTCTGCCTCATCCTCACTCTCAGCTGATGAACTTGTTCATAAGTCACAGAGAAAATAAATGACTCCCACAAACTCCTACCCATCACATCTGCTCACCAGCTAACATCTCTCCCCAGATGTCCTTTCCCACCTCTCCTATTTACACTAGAGAGTTACTTTCCTTGTTCCTAAAAAGTTCAGTTCCTCCATTTTCTTGCTCATGTCATACCAATAATTCTGCCCTCTCCTGCATTATTGGGTTCTCTATGTATTGGATTATATAATGTATCCCATAAGTAGGGAGGCAGAAGAAATCAGAGAGATATGTGGTAGCTTATTCAGAAAGAGGCAATGTTGTCGGCTTTAAAGTTGGAGAAAGAAGGCCAAGGAATGCAGGTGGCCTCTGGAAGCTGGAAAAGTAATGAAAATTTATCCTCCCCTAGAGCTTCTAGAAAGGAACACAGTCTTCTCAACACCTTGATTTTCTCCCAAGGAGACCTGTGTTGGACATAGTACTACTATGAACATGGGTGTACAAATCCAATGACCTCTTAAATCCACTAGAATAAATCTTTTTTCCCTACCTCTTCACCTAACATGTCTTCATCAAGGTCATCAATGAGCTCCATATCCTCATAGCTAATTCTTAGTCCACAAATAGCATTTGACAGAGTAATCACTCCAACCTTTGAAACACTCTCTTCTCTTGATTTCTTACTTCCTGATGGAGACCCTTCAGTCTGTTTTGTCAATTCCTCCTAATTTCTTTAGTCATTTTTAGTAGTCTAAGAGTCAGTGCTTGAATCTCTTCTCATTTCTGTCAACGATCCTTTCCTAGCTAACCTCATCCACTCTCAGGGCTTTTTTTTAAAAAATATTTATTTTTCAGTTCTCGGCGGACACAACATCTTTGTTGGTATGTGGTGCTGAGGATCGATCCCGGGCCGCACGCATGCCAGGCGAGCCCGCTTGAGCCACATTCCCAGCCCCACTCTCAGGGCTTTAAATATTGCTAATACATGATTGTTTTCAAGCATGTATCTCTAGCTCCAAATTCACATCTATATGCTCTTTTGACATCCCCAAGAGGAGGTCTGATAGGCATCTAAATGTTCATACTCTGAAACTGATCTCCCCTTCTTTATCTCCAAAACCTGTTTTCCATCAAGCTAATTCTACTTTTAGTTGTTCAGGCTGAAACCCTTCGACACACCTTTACTCCCCCCCCCTTTTAAAATATTTTTTAGTTGTAAATGGACCTTTATTTTGTTTATTTTTATGTGGTGCTGAGGATCGAACCCAATGCCTCACACATGCTAGGCAAGGGCCCTACCACTGAGCCCCAATCCCAGCCCCAACCCCCTCTTTTTCTTTCATGTCCTTCATCCAACTGATCAGTCAATCCTGATAAGGTTTTTGTCTACTTAGGTCCTAGAATTATCTCCAGGACCTAAAACAGTAATTAGCACAACACTTTTGTTTAACTCTTGCAAAATATATCCAGAATTTGACTGACTCACCACCTCTACTGCTACCATTCTAGTCCAAGTTATTTTCATTTCAAGATTGGATTTTTGCAATAGCCTCCTGACAAGTCTCCTTGCTTCCTTGTCCTCCTCCAGTCTGTTCTCCACATAGTGACAGAGTGATCCTTTCAAAACAGAAATTAGATCATGTCATTGTTCTGCTTAATACCCTCCCATGGAGTCTTATCTACTTCAGAGCAAAAGCCAAATGCCTTACAATGGCCTACAAGGCTCAATGATTTAATGTCCTGGGAACTTCTCTGACCTCATCTCCTACTTCCTTCCTTCTCAAATCTGCCCAGACATATTGATATCCTGAATGTTTCTTAAAGAAGTCAGGTATTTTTTTCACCTTAAGATCTTTGCATTTGTGGGCTGGGGTTGTGGCTCAGTGGTAGAGCACTTGCCTAGCATGCATCAGGCACTGGGTTCAATCCCCAGCACCACATTAAAAAAATAAACAAATAAAGGTATTGTGTCCATCTACAATTAAAAAAAAAATTTTTAAAGAACCTTTACATTTGATGTTCCTTCTGATTTCCATTGTTCTTTCTAGTATGTTCACTACTTGCACCTTCAACTCTTTCAAATTTTCACTCAGATATCACAATTTCTGAAAAACCTTCTCTGGTCATTCAATTTAACATGCATCACCTATCTTCCCAGCACCCCCACTCTTCTTGCTTGATTTTTTTTCCTTCACACTTATTCTGACATATTACACACTTAATCTGTTTACTATTTACCTCTTCTACTAAGTTCCCTGAAGAGAATTTTTTTTTTTTTTGCCTGCTTTGTTTATGGAAGTATCCCAACACCCAGAAAGTAATCAGCACATTACAGGTGTATGTTGAATGAATGAACACCTGGAAAGTAAAGTGTGATCGGAAAACAGTAGGTATCTGACGCCCATGGGGTAAGCTGTGACCATATCCTGAGTGACTTCTAAGCCATGTTTTTGCAGGTCAGTGGGATACCACATATTTGTCTTAACGGTGGGATTAATATGCTCAAAATTGTACTCTCTTTAAAAAATTGCTCCGGTAGTAGTTTGAAGGATCAGCAGAAGATGAGCCTGGTAGGAGCAATCAGGATTTCTGATAGATAACACCACTAATTCAAGTAAAGAAAAGAGGAGAAATAGTTTGGAGAATAGGGTGTGGTGATTGCAGGAGTTGATGGTTATTTTTTGGAACATTTTGAGGTGAGTACAATGTAAGTACCGAGGCCTTCCTTAAAATGCAGCATAAAGAGACAAAAAATATATATATATAAAAGAGCTATTAGGAATAACGAAGACTCTGTTGAGGTGACCAGTGTGTACTTAAGAGGAAATTCAGAACAAGATAAAAAATCAGGACTTAGGTTAAAAAAAAAGTTAAAAAGGATAAGAGTTTTCTGGAATTGAAAGAGTCAAAATTCTTCATTCAGATGAAAATTATACTCTAATATCAAGCAAAAATAGATTAAAATCTGTTCAAAGTCATACCACAGT